ATCTTTGTCTTTTATTATTATTTCTTGCTTGTTTCTTGCTTATTCTCGAATTTTCTATGTTGTGTGCTGTCCACTATTCTAATTAGGTTTGTGTGTATGTCTATCTAAACACGTATTTGTTTTGTTTGTCTGTTCACGTGTCATAGTAATCAACAGATCTACATTTCCAAGTCACAGCAAATTCCCCAAATTTATTTTTCTAAGTTTTGAATAATGTGTTTTTCCTTTCTAACTTTACTACTGAATAACCTATTTACTTGCCCTTTCACTTGCTATACCTTTAACACAAGCTCTATCTTTTTCTTTAAGCCTATGAAGTTGGTTGTAACAGTCATTTTTGAGAAAACTTTCAATTTGCTTCTGTCGATTTTGTGTACAAGTAATCAGCGAAGAGAGAATAAAAACCTTCCCAGAAAATATTTTATTTAAAAAAACTTAACAAAGAAGATTTAAGACAATTTGCAATTATGAAAAAGACTATAATTAAAAGTATATAAAGATACTAATAACTGTTTATTTTAGGTAGTATAAAGTAGTAGTTCATTAGTGAAAGAGTATGAAGACTCAATGTTAAACTTGTGGTCCACATCTGTCACTTTTATACTTTTTGGCTACATAGTAGATGTAACAGCCTATATCTTTTATATATATAAGATATAGATAAGATATGTTTAATATATAAAATAAATAAAATAAATAAACTAAATAATATATATAAACTAAATATAATATAAAATATAGATGCTTCAAAATGCATAAATGTTATATATATTATATATATGATATTTTGCGCAGTTATTATTCAACCAATCAGATTGCAACTTTCTTATTAATTTGATTATTGGATTCGATCTTGGGATCCTGTAATCAGAAATGGATGATCTATACCTTATTAGAACCATCTTAGTGAGCTGATTCGAATGGTGGTGGTTTCATCGAATTCTGTCTAATGGTTCAAGAGTTATGGCCATTTTTGTAGGTTAACACTATTAATAAAATAAATATTAATATATTAAATAAGTAATTAAAACTAATAATAATTTATAAACTATGTAAAAATGCTAAAAAAAATTAAAATATAATTTAAAACTAAAAACACATATATAATAATATATAAAAAAAAGTAAATTTTATTACAATATTATAAAAAAAAACACTTAAGAGTAGGTTAAGTGCATAATTTATTAATAATATGCTAAGACTAAAAGAATGCAAATTAGTAATAATAGCAAAGATCTGGCTTAAAATGTATGTTATCAATATCTGAATTAGAAAAAATATTAGCAGTAGTAGCAAGATCTTGGCATAAAATATATACTATAAGATGTTGTTTTGATAAACTAAAAATAATCAGTTATAAAAAATAAATAATTTAATAAACTAATTTAAAAGTTATTTAAATAGATTATAAAATATTAAATATAAACAAATATGAAGCAAAATTTAAATTATATATAAGTAAAACATAATACAAAGCTCTAATAGGTTTAGGTTGCAAATAAATTAGTCTAAGTTTTATTTCTTAGTAGATATAAAGTAATAGACAATATATAATGTAAAAAGTTGTATAAGCTATAGCAATATATACAAATCAACAGACTTGAAATATAATCTTATTTTAACTTCAAAAAAAAATATATATATATATTTTTTTAGCAATATTAATTTAATACTATAATTACTATATTATAAAAAGAATTAAGTTATTTATCATGCAAGTAACAGTATTATAGGTAGTAGATGATATATAAAAATAATTAGATAAAATATATTATAATTAACTTTTAAATACTATGTATTAACTTTTAAATAGTAATTTATTTTTCATTATAACAATTCTTAGATTAGTTTTAGTATTAGATCTTAGTAATAAGCTTTTTTTAATTAATACTTTTAATTTTTATTCATTATAAAAGACATTTTTTTTTTTTTTTCAAAGAACTAAAGATTTGGTACAATGCCAAAAAAAAAATACTATAGAAGTGGCAAAAAAAAAATATATATATAATAATAGCAAAAAAAAAAATACTATAACAGTAACAAAAATACTATACAATGCATTTTTTTTCAAATTAAACAATTTAGCAATTCTAAACTTTTATAACATATAGTAGTTTTTTTTTTTAAAACTCCAAACTTTTGCTAGACAATTACTGAACAAAAAACTTTTTATAATATAGTTTTTTTTTCAAAACTCTAAACTTTTGTTAGACAATTACTAAACTTTCACTAGACAATTACTAAACAAAAAACTTTTTATAATATAGTTTTTTTTCTTTTAGTTTTTTTTTTTATAAACCATTTATTGTTTTAAGTTTTCACTTTTATAATGTCATGAAAACTCTTAGCTAATATAAAAAATGGTTTAACATCAAAAGACTTATTAATAAATAAAAGTTTTCCTAATGTTGGTAGTTTTGAGAATAATAATAATTCAAATCTTGAGGATGTTGAAGACAATACTAATAGTGAACTAAGCAGTAATAATAAAGACAACTTTGAGAATACTAGTGATCAATAGTTGAGAAACTTACCTCTATCTCATATTGAAATCTACTATAGAAAGACTTTTGAAATATAGAAAGAATGCTATAAAAGATTAGGATGTTATGTATGTTAAAATAATTTTGTAATCAGAAAAAAATAAATAGATAATAGACACAATCCACACCAATATACATATGATTATAAATAATCAAGCAACATATATTTCATATAAAACAGCCCTATCTAACAAGCAAAGAAATAAGAGTTCAAAGAGAATTGATTGCTTTTTTCTTATAAATACATTCAAGAATAAGAGCCCTGATAGTAAAATTATAATTAAGTTGACATTAATACACTTTGAACATAATTATCTGTTAGTTTCTGAAAATGCTAGCTTTGCTACTGAATATCAAAAACTTATAGTAAAAATAAAGGATCTTATTGAAAAATATACACTTTGTAATCTTGATGTTCTATTCCAGGTTCAGCTATTTTGTGAGTTGTTTTCTGAAGCAACAATTGTAGATTATAATGTAAAGAACTATATATATAAATTTTAGCATATTTATTCAATGCAAAATGGTAATGCTACAAAGCTCTTTGAACATTTTGAAAAAGAACATGCAAAGGATCCTGATTGGCATATTTAACTATTAATTGACATAGAAACAAATAGATTATAAGGTGTATTTTATATAATATCTAAATAGCGAAAACTCTGATAACATTATGCAGACATTATTTTAAATGATAACACAGTGGTAACCAATATTTATAATTTGCCATTAAGCATTTTTGCTATTGTTAATAACAATTTTAAGTTAAGAATTGTTGCACAGACTGTATTGTCTAATAAAACAAATGAAAGTTATAGATAGGTTTTATAGCAAACAATCAAAGGTACAGAAGTTCAGCCTGGTGCCTTTATAATTAATGCTGACCCAGGTCTTAAGAGTATTATTCCTAAGATATATCCTAATACCTATCTTCTTCACTATATTTGACATATCAGACATAATATTGAGAAGCAGCTTGCAAAGTCTCTTGGTGACTATTATGCAGATTTTCTCAAAGTTTTTTACTATATATGCAATGTTTTATGCAAAGAGGCATTTGATAGATATTGGCAACAATAAAAAAACTCTTTCTGCAAATCCATTGCACAAAAATTAACTAAAAAAACTATTCGTCTAAAAACACTTATATCTTTTTATTTTACTAAGATAACCTGTCCTGGCGTCTTAAGTAAACTTGTTCAGCTCATCAATTTATATATATACTGAAAATATTATAAATTTATTTTTTAAACCCACAGAGAAAATTGTACTGACGGCCTTTGGCCTCCAGTTTTAGAAATTTAATCCTCTTGCAGTTTCTACTGCAATAACTTATTTTACACCCTTAATTAAAGTTGTAACACATACTTGCCCGGTCAAAACAAGTCCTGAAAGAAGAATTTTGACCTAATATCAGCTAAGATACAGCTAAATTTATCTTTTACTTTCTTGCAAAAACTTTTTCCTACCTTTTGTTCTTATCTCATCTTCTTTTTCTCTTATATGATTTTTATATAACCATATCATCATTTCCTAAATTATACTTTATTTATTTTTACCAAAATCCTGTGCTCCATCTATTTATAGAAATTCATTGAACACAATCAGCTATTTCCTTATTTGGTTTTTATTAATTATATACAACAATTTGTATTGCAAACCTTATTTGTACCAGTATTCGAGTCATTTTTGTAACCCCAATCACTCTAGTTATATACCAGTATTATATCTGTAATACCTCAATTATACAACCCTTGTTCTATCTGCCACCTTTATAAAATTATTATCCAACTATTAGAAATTTTTCTAAGTTTCTAATATAATATCCATTTAATTTATTACAAACTTCAAAAATGCCTATATTAACCAACCAAGATCCTGATACTGCAGATCTTGATTACTTTTATCAAAACTATTCTAACAGTTTTGGAATTACCCTTTATGAAGAAGAAAATGATAACAATACTCATCCAATTCTTCCTAAAGTCAAACCAACCTCTTGTTTAACTAAAAACCTTAAATCTAACAAAATTACTCATTTTTTTTAAGCTTTTATTTCTATTTTTGTGATTACTTGTCTTTGTGGCAAATACCACACCAAATTCATCTCAACTACTAATACTAATCATATCTAAGCTACTTAATTCACTACAGTTCATGTTAACAGTAATACAAAAAAGAACCTCAACAAATCAGCCCAACAACTCCTAACTAATCTCTTCTCTTTAACTGACAATATTCCTCTCCATCTCCTACTTCTAATATACATTATCATACCTGCCTTAAATGTTCTTTTCCAATTGGCTGTATCAAGAGAAATGATCGCCATTATCCAAATGAAAAATATATCACTAAAAATAATAAAGTCTATTACTTTACCTGTATGTCTGCCTCATCTCAACATGAAGCTAGCTCATCCCAAATCAAGAAAAATCTTACTCAAACCTTCCAAAACATCCTACATGAATTCTCTCATACTACCAATCTTTTTATTATCTCTCCTCATTAAACCTCTACCTCTTTTGACCTTATTAACTCCTTTTTTGCTATAATTACCAATACTAACCCTATTTCTAATTAATCTCCAATTACTAACATTTTTGATAATACTAATTTAAACCTAAATAATTTTAACAATACTAACTCACCTGACAGTACTCCTAACAAACTCCCTCTTCAAACCTACTCTAGTATTACCAAACTAAAATTTAATCTTACATATGACTGACTTACAAATTTTCTAATTACTAAAAAAATACAATTCAACAAAAAATTACAAACTACATTTTCTCTTCAACTCTTCATTTTTCTTAAAAAATTTCTTTATGATTTTTATTTTGATAAAGAAATTAAACCTGCCACCCCTACTCAATCTATACTTAAGGCTTTATTTTATTATATTATCTGTATCATAGCTAGACAATGGTCAGAATTCTTAACTGATCTTATCTATAGTAGCAATACTAATATTGACAAAAGTGCTACTATTCTTTTTGATCTTCTTGAATCTACTCTCAAAAATCTACTCCTTAAATTCACAACTGTCCTCTTTATAAAACTTAATTATCTTGAAATCTTTGTCTCACCAGTCACTATCCCTCCTTATATAGCTCATAACCATCTTTAACTCTATCTCAATCTTGCATGACTTCACCTCTTTTTATCCAACAACTACCAATCAATTGATTACCAAAAATTCACTGAAGATTTAAAGCTTAGACCCAAAAGATTTAAAATTAAATCTTTTACTCAAACTACTGATTTTGATCAAAAATACCTTATCATTCAATCAGATGCTAGATTCAATATCAAGCTCTTTTTTAATATTTCTAAAACACTATTTCTTGAAAGATTTTGCATTCCATCTTTAAAAAACTCACTTGATCATTTTAATTTCTGGTTTGAAACCTATTACCCTCCTTATAGTTGACAATTTTCCTCTACTATTGACAAAGAAAAAGTTAAAACTTCATTTCGAATCCAATTCTGTCAGCACTTTATTCTTCAACTCTCCAAGCATCTTCTTAAATCTTACATATTGCAGAAACCCAATTCACTTTATGAAAAACATAAGAAAGCATCTTGTGTGGCAAATTTTCATTGTCTCATTTGTGACAATAAATTATTTCAATATCTTAATGATAAAAAATTTCATAATAGTACCAAACTCTTTAATAACATATTAAGCAAATCTCGCCTAACATTTTCTTCACAAGATAATGAAACATGGATTCATCCAACCTTTAACACTACACTATTTTACAAAAACAAAGAACATGCTGCATCAATCGACCAACCCATTCCTACCAAAGCTCTTGATAAACTAGCAGATCAAGCTGAAGATTTTGTTTGTAATTAAAACAAAGTTAAAACAAATCCTAAATGTTATAACTATTACTTTTACTATTACCTCTCTCTATATTACCAGACTGCTGCAAAAAATCACAATATACAGTCTCTTTTCAAGAAGAAGGCAATCAATTTATTAACCAAAAACATTATTGATACTAAATTTCTTGTCCAAATTATTACCTACTTCAATGTAGTAAAAAACCAAAAATCAACTTATTTAC